AGTAGCAGCGTTCAAGAGGGCTTCAGAAAATTGTTCTCCGCGCCAGTTCCGCTATTTTGATTTTGTCTCACAATTCACGACAGATATACAACATGTTTCAGGTGATAACAACGTCGTAGCGGATGCTCTTTCTCGCACAGAAGCAATCACAAGCGCGCTAGACATGCGTGCCTTAGCATCCTCGCAAAAACATGACGTGGAACTTCAGCAACTCCTACAAAGCGACTCCTCACTAGACCTCCAGAAGATGGACATTTCTGGCTCAGGTGAGAGTTTATACTGCGATGTTTCCAGCCCGTCACCTCGACTATATCTGACACCACAGTTCCGTCAACAAGCTTTCGACAGCGTTCACGGATTAAGTCATCCAGGAGTCAAGGTCACAGTGAGACTTATGACTCAAAAGTATGTGTGGCCTAACATAAAGAAGGACTGCAGCAGTTGGGCGCGCAGCTGTATCCCGTGCCAGCGTTCGAAAATTACTCGGCACACCCGATCTCCAGTGCATGCGTTTGTTCCCCCGTCGAACAGATTCAGCCATGTACACATAGACCTTATAGGACCCCTGCCGACGTCAAACGATTATAGATACTGTCTCACAGCCGTGGACAGATTTACACGTTGGCCAGAGGTTATGCCGCTTCGTGACATCAAAGCTGACACAGTGGCGACTGCCTTTGTCACTGGCTGGATATCACGCTTTGGTTGTCCAGAAAAAGTTTGAGGCACATTTGTTCAGAGAACTGTCTAGATTGATCGGGTCAAACCATCTTCAAACAACAGCTTACCATCCTGCTGCCAATGGAATGGTTGAGAGATTTCATCGTCAACTAAAATCGGCGATTACGTGCCATGCCAACGACGATTGGTATGAGGTTCTCCCATGGGTGCTTCTAGGAATACGGTCAGCATGGAAAGAAGACATTGGCTCGTCATCAGCAGAGTTAGTGTATGGAGAGACGCTGCGATTGCCGGGAACATTTTTCTACAGCACTCCCGTAGAAGTCGTAGACCACGCTGACTACCTTTCACGTCTAAGAGCCAATATTCGCAAGATTAGGCCCACACCTGTGATGCACCATGGTACTTCTCCGGTCTTCGTGAGTAAGCATTTGTCATCTTCACGTCAAGTTTTCCTTCGTAAAGAAGCCGTTGCAGGCCCCTTATAGTGGGCCCTACACCGTTCTGGAACGTGGTGACAAATACTACAAGATAGATGTTAAAGGAAAACCTGTCACAGTGTCGATTGATAGGTTGAAACCGGCGTACTTGCTCAGCGACTCTGCGTTGCAGTTGCGTGATCCATCACCAGACATTTCCAGTTCCCCACAGAAAACGCGATCTGGCCGCCGGGTACGTTTTAACGATTTTTATCGACCGTAACGGTCTCCGGGGGGGCTGATGTGGCAATCACACAATTTGCACATACGCCTTTCAACGAAGTCGGTTGAAGAATACCGTTATGCGGCCGGCAAGTGCCGTGCCCAGCGACGACGGTTACGGAGGCGCTCGGCATCGAATCGTGCGCCATCGGATTTCCCTGCCTCGCCAGTCGTTACACGATACTGACGCTGAGAGGCTGCGCGCGCGCGACCGGACGACCGTTAAACGGCTACGACGCGAATCCAAGTATTTTTATTGTAATTTCCCGCTTCCTTTCTGTGCTTGTATTGTAACTTTCTTCCTATGCTTGTGTTTATTCTTCCTGTACTTGTGAACAATATATGTGACTTTTATCTACTATAAAGAGTGTTATTTATAAGCTCCAATCAACTTTACCCGCTATCGTGGATACGAACGATTCTACAATACTATCTTCTCATTAAGACTATCTAACTGAGAATGAAGGTTTTGTGTTTCATAGTCATGGTTCAAGTGACAATTTTTTAATTTTTCTGAATACGTATCTAATTTTCTAAGCAATGACAGCCTCTCTCTATTCAATTTGTCATTTTTAATGATTTTTTTTTGCCTATTTACCAACTTTTGTGTTTTTCTTATATATCTATTAATTTTGACATATTTTTTTAATTTATTTTTACTACATTTAACAATCCTACTTGATTTATTCATAACATCATCACAGGTTAGATCAATGGGCACAATAGGCATTTGGTTATTGACAGTGACCATATTTGGGTCATTGGTCACCAGCTCATCGAAGAGGCTTTGGTTCAACGTAGTGGTGGTGCTTAGTTGAGTAATTTCTAACTGCAATATTTTAGTGTTTGACTTATCCAATTGACGTTCTAAATGCTTTACACGATCTAGAGCATGCTCATACTCAGCACTGCACCGGCTGAACCCATCCACAATGAGCTGAAGCCTATCCCGGGCAGCAATGGCTTCAGTGCATTGTGTATGAATCTGGGCTAGTTCTAACTTAACCTGCTTATTTTTCTCAATTAGGCCTAGTAATTCTTTCTCATTATCATCTCTTTCCGCAATCAGCTGGTCACACAACTGCTTAGACTCCTTTAGCTTGCTCAACGCCAATTGGAGTTTGGACTCCTCTTGGCGAGCAGCCAAAGCTCTGCGTGTCATCATAGTTGATTAAATCGAAATGAAATGTGATAAGCAAGGATTGAGAAAGTTACGATACGATAGGAATTAAAAAGAAAAAATTAGTGAAGGTGGACAGAAAAAGATAAAATAATTATGCAAAGTAGTTGTGTCACCGAACTAGATTAAGGTTATGTTTACGTTCATATCATTGATATAATACCTACATAGATGAGTAATTACCGCCTAAAATCGTTGCTACTGCACATCTGTCCACAGGCATATGCGTAGCAAACGTCAATTCAGTGTTCAATGTGGCGTCAACCGAGTTGAACATAGCGACACATGACAGTAACAATCGCCAAAATGGGTCAATGCGTAGTGAAAGAATGCGATTCAAGGTCACAAAACAATAATAAATCATGCGGAATTACTTATCACGTGTAAGTTTATGGTTTTTGTGTTGATAATATCGTAAATAAGGCTATAATTGAAATAAAACATTGATAATTGTAATTTAGAATCAGTGTTACCATTAAAAAAACATTTTGGTTTTCCCACATTAGTGGGAGAATTTATAATTTATGAAATAATATGCTTTATACTGTTTTTAAACATTTTGCCAATAATAATAAAATATAGGAAGAACGGTAGTTGTTAGGGCTGGACCGATCACTTTTTTTAGGGACCCGTTGAACGTTCACCTTCTGCCAAGCTCGCAGTGCTGGAGACTTTTGTACAAAAGAATTAATTAATTCATTCATTCATTTTTCTTAATTAATTATCAATTATAAATAATAATTGTACAAAATATATATATATATATATAAAATAAAAAAGTAAATAAATATAAATAAAAATATATATATATATATTATCTATATTTATTTTATTTGTATTTTAAAATATTAAAAGAATTTGCAATACACCCTGTCCATCAAAATATACAATCAGTTACCTAAAACCATAAAACAAGAAAATAAATATAACAGTTTCACAAAAAAATTAAAACTCTTTCTTGTAAGTAAAAGCTACTACAGCATAAGAGAGTATTTTGAAGATAGAATTCTAAAATAATAAAATTCATAAATTAAATTATACAACTCTTATGATAAATAATAAATAAAATATTATTTCCTCTCTCCCAAACAAACTGTGCTGCGCCCGTCAGGGTCCATAATTGTTACTATATTTAAATTGATATCACCTATGCATTTACATTGTGGAAGAAATAAAGTATTGAGTATTGAGTATTATTTATTATCAGTACAAGTTGATCATTCACTTTTATTATTAAATGCCATTATTTATACATAGGTAAAAATAAGATTGTATCATGAAAGTAAAATATCCACACAAACTTATAAAAAAGAGTCTAAAAGACAATTGTATACAAAATTGATGCTTCATAGCGGAGTTTGATTTTACACTGAATATAAACCCTTTTAACCAAATATTTCCAGTTATTTTTAATATTTAAACCTATTCCATTCAATTCGAAATATATTATTTAAAATATTTAAATTAATTTATTTTATTACAAAATTGTTTTAAAAAAAATAGTTTCTTGGTTGTTATGGGTAAAATTTCATACGGTAGTCAACACTGGCCCACCATCGTAAAGTTATGTCTTTGTCTTTGTCTAATCCGAGCGATGGTATTGTTCTTGTCTCGCGTCTAAATGAGACATAAATATGTTTACTTTCAAATGTTTAGTGGTATCAAAGCTACGTCGTCAAAGTTCAAAAGTGGTTACACTTTTTTCGACGTGTGATAATGAGGTTTGCTTCTCTAGTGTTGTTTTAACTCAATGGTTCATATAGGCAATTTGCATGAACTTTTGACTGTAGCAAATATTTGAAACTACTTACGTTTGAGTAGAACACGTAAACACTGTTATATATCTTAAAAATTATACCTCTGGAATGATGATAATTCAAAAATCACTTGCCGGTAACTGTCACAGTGTGTATTAAATGTTAAGTCTTAACAAATTCGCATATTTTCACTATTATTTAGGGGTAAACAATCTTTAACCCTATCTAATCAGTGACGGATCGAAAATTAGTTAATATATATTGTATTTTAAGTATTCTCAAGCTACATAGTGTATTCGATATGGTTTATGTATTAGATAATGGAAATAAATATTAGGTTCTATCCTGACAGGTATAACCCTGCCCTTGTGACCCCTAAGGGGGGAAGATACGTTACAATATGGCGCACGAACAGGGACGTTAGTGGTGTGAGCAACTTTATTTTAAATATTTTGGTTCCTTTACTGGTCAATTTTGCTCAGAAAAGAGTTGGTCGAGTTAAGTGTTTTACTTATTGCCTACCATGTATTTTGTTTACTACTAAATATTACCTTATATTATACTAAGTCAGTGATCTGATATTATTATTTAATCTTAATATATTTTGTTAGGCTTGGTCGATTTAATTGTTACTCCTTTCACATTTTACCTACTTTAAACTTTTATTTACTGTCTTTCACTATGGAAGAAAGATTAGACATAGTGTTATTTAATATTCGTCCATTTTATACTTCTCAATTAGCTTTACATCCTATCGATACTTGGTCTGAACTAAAGCAGAAATGCAGGCTTCTAGAGAGTGCTAAACTACGCTCGGATTTATTCACCGAACCCCCTAAAAATAATTCATCTTGTCTTGCTCCCGATCTTTCTTATAAAGGTCAGCGTACCAATAAGGTGCACTCGGTGGAAACTACTATTAATGAAACAAATTTTTGTGTTCGCTGTCGTACGAACGGCCATAATTTAAGATCTTGTAAGGCTCCTTTTACTCTAGTGTGTTATCGTTGTGGCAAGAAGGAAGTCACGTTTAAAACTTGTCCTAAGTGTTCTCCTAGCCTACCTACTACTTCGGTCTCAAAAAACGGTCAACCGTGAATCAACAACTGGGCAAATCTAATACTACTATTATAAATACTACTAAAGATAATCGTTATATTACCCATACGAGTTACCCTTCTACTAAAAACTACACTACAAAGGATGACTGGCAAGACTGGTTAAAATTTGTAAAATAATTTCTTGCTACTTCTACGAAAACATTGTTGGCTTACGAAGTACCTAGTGCTAAATGCCCATATTTAACTATTAAAGTACATGATCTGGAATTCAGAGGTCTCTTGGATTCTGGTTCAGAAAGAACAATGGCAGAAACATATTTACCTAAAACTTAAGCGTTTAAAAAATCGAGCCACAGTAAACTTAATCAATATTTTTTCTATGATTTATCATTACACTACCATGTGTTGTATAAGTCTTATAAGAAATAAGATATTTTTGAAGATTTTATTTGACCTAAGTACGTAATGTCAGATTCGCCATCACGTATAACTGACTAGGGATGCGTGGTGGCAATATTATATTATGGAACAACTTATCGATAATCGATTCTTATAGCTTTGGCTGAAATATTTACCGAAGGTTCACTATTATGATTATGAATTTGCTTCTGCCCACGTCTTCACTCGTACGGTAGAGTGACTGAATCAACATAATTAGAAATGATTTAAAATATTTTTGACTCTCTTTAAACGATTTTAAACACACTAAAGAAATAGAATATAGTTACGTTATTTTCCACTACACAGTGTGATGAGAAAAATACATTGTCATTGATAACGGCACATAAATAGACATACATCGATATTTTCAAAATGTCGATACGTCGTCGTTTAGATCCTGTCAAGTGCCGGACTCACCACGTTTGTTATTTTATTTTTGTTTAATTTAGTGTTAAACTCGAATAGATGTTATGCTTTTATTTTTTTTATTTCATGTACTGTAATAATAATGAAAATAATATTTTCGGCTATCTGACACACAACGCCATCTAGTTTCAAACAAAACATTAACAATATGTTAGTACTTAACCTCGAAAAATTCAAAATCCAATATCTTTTTTCCTAGACTTCTTTCGCAAGTAATTTTGATATGAGAATGGTCAAGAATAAATTCTCAAGTGTTAAGGATTTTTTGATATTTAAACGCTAACATTTCAGTTCAAATAAAATTATGTATGGGGACTTGCCATTGTCCTTTCTATTATTAGTGGTGATGCTATATCTTATTTTCGGGATTTAGTTACCATTCATCCGTCCTCGGATTTACATAGTATTAAAACTGCTAAGGGATCTACCTCACCTGTCACCGTTTATATCTTTTTACCGGTTACAGCATTTGGAAGATTCGGTATTGTAAAATTCTATATCATACCCGGTGTAACTACGGAATTATTATTTGGTACTAACTTTTGGAAGGAATTTAATATTGCCCCCGATATTCTGTCATTATTACCTGACAAGGAATACTTCTCTTCGTCAGAACCTGTTAAAACTATTGCAACCTCTGAACGATGGTTACGCGATTTTGATTCTCTCTCGGAACCAGAAAGGAAACAAGCCGAGGATGTCATTAGGCAGTTCGAAGAAATTTCTGCGGATAAGAAAGGTCTCGGTCTTACTCATTTAGTTTCCCATAAGATCGACACTGGCGATCATTCCCCTATTAAACAACACTACTACCCCATATCTCCTGAAAGGCTAATCGAATTAAATAAACATCTAGATCAAATGTTACAGGATGATGTTGTAGAACCTAGTAACAGCGTTTGGAATAATTATGTTACCTTAGCACCGAAATCGGATGGTTCACTTCGTTTTTGTTTAGATAGTAGAAAACTAAATGAAATTTCAAAACATGATGCTTATCCTTTGCCATATATTAATCAAATTCTAGATAAATTACGTGACGATAAATACCTATCTTCTATCGATCTAAAATCTGCATATTTTCAAGTACCTCTTGATTCTCTCGAATCCCGTGAAAAAACTGCGTTCACCATTCCTGGTCGTGGTTTATTTCATTTTAAGCCAGCCACTCAACAACGTTTAATGGATCGTTTATTCGGCCCTGAATTTGGTAATAACCTATTTATCTATTTAGATGACATAATAGGCTCGAATTCTAACTTCCAAGATCATATTAAACTGCTACTTAAAGTTAAAGATAATTACATGGCGCTAACTTAATTATTAACATGGATAAATGTCAATTCTTCCGTAAACAACTAAAATACTAAGGTCATGTCGTAGACGAATATGGTCTGCGAACAGACCCTGACAAAGTTAAAGCTCTAGTTAATTTTCCTACGCCCACATCTCGTCGGGAAGTGAAACGGTTTCTCGGAACTGCTTCGTACTACCGTCGTTTTATTAGAAACTTCAGCCATAGTGCGGGTCCTCTTAACGCTCTTACTTCTACCAGGAAGGGTACTCCCCCTTTTCATTGGTCTCCAGCGGCTGAATCCGCTTTTAAAGATTTAAAACTTGCCTTAACTACGGCTCCTGTTTTAGCTACCCCTGATTTTACTCAGGAATTCGCTGTCCATTGTGACGCTTCTGATTTTGGTATTGGCGGAACTTTAACCCAAACTATTAATGGGGAGGAACATCCCATTGCGTGCTATAGTCGTTCTCTTTCTCCTACTGAACGTAATTATATGGTTACCGAGTGTGAAGTTCTGGCTATAGTAAATGTTGTTGAACATTTTCGTCCTTATTTGGAAGACCGCACACCTTTTCGTGTGATCACTGATCACGCTAGCTTAAAGTAGTTTTTGAATCTCAAGAATCCAACTGGCCGTTTAGCCAGGTGGGGCTGTAGACTATCCCCGTATAGTTTTATAATTGAACATCGAAGCGGATCTCGAAACATCGTACCAGATACTCTGTCTGTCTGTTTTTGTCTGTACTTTTCCATCTAATAATACTTGGTACTGTAGGGTACGTTTCCTACGTGCGATGGGCTGCTGCTAAGCTCGATGCTTAATTAAAGACTTCGATAACTCTATCACGGTTTATTATTATAAAAATTATAACGGTACTAAGCTATGCTAAAATGCTAATGGACGATTATATGCTCTGCTAATAGTTACGAATGCACCCGGTTTGCTGTCCGAATATGCACTGATGTCGCCCCGCACTTAAGGCGCCCGCGTTAGGTTGCTAGATCAGCAAAAGGTGTTCGATCGTAATTATTGCATCGAACAGGTACAAAAAAATTATTTATCGTTGTACGGAGAAGCCTCGAGCTTGTCCAAATTACCAACTGATAGATGGTAGATTATACCGTTATATTAAATCTTCCAATAAATTGAGTCGAGACTTTGAGTGGAAAGAAGTCATCCCCTTCGAAGATCGGGAGAATATATTAATGGCTAATCATTGTGATCCTACCGCTGCCCACCTTGGGGTATCGAATACTTATAAACGTCTAAAATTACGCTACTTTTGGCCCGGAATGTATAAAGATACCGAGGCGTTCCTTACTTCTTTTTCTATTTGTAAGGCTCATAAACATAGTACTAATAAATCACCTGGATTTATGGGTGCTCCTAAAGTTTTTTCTCGTCCATTCCAGTGCATCAGCATAGATTTAGTTGGTCCACTGCCTAGGTCGCGACAACAGAATACTTTTTTATTAGTTTTAGTGTGTTGTTTTAGTAAATATTGTTTAATTTTCCCACTACGTCGAGCCACTGGCAAGGTAATTGCCCAGCAACCCGAAGATCACGTATTTTTAACTCATGGAATACCCCAAACCATTATTTCAGATAATGGCTCCCAGTTTGTTGGCCGGGAAGTCCAAGCTCTTTATTCTAAATATAATATACCTCAAATACATTTGGGACCAGTTTACTGTCCTCAAGTTAATATGGTTGAAAGATATCATCGTACTATAATTACCGCGCTGTCCTCTTATGTTGAACAGGATCATCGCACTTGGGATGTTAATATTCCCAAGATTCAATATGCTCTTAATATCGCAGTAAATGAATCTACTTCGTATTCTCCTTTTATGCTTGTTCATGGCAGAGAGCTGAGGCTGTCCGTGTGGTGACGGATTAAGAATACAGAGTGTCACCACCCCTATTCATCCCGTGGGTGTCGTAAGAGGCGACTAAGGGAGCGAAATACGCAGGACAACAGCACTGCAGAGAGAAGGAAAATTTGACACAAACCCTATACCAACCCGTCTGGCCAGCGTGGTATAGTAGGCCAAAACCTCCTTTTTAAGGAGAGGCCTATGTCCAGCAGTGGACTGTTAAAGACTGTTGATGATGATGATGATGGCAGAGAAGCTGTGACAGACGGCAGTATCTATCCTCCTGCTAGAGACTTAGATGAGCTTATCATTGTACCGCGTGACAATTATGCAAATGGTTTAGGATATCTTCATGATATATTTGTCCGTGTTAAAGGCATGCTGCGTAAGGCCCATGACCGTAATATTAGTTACTATAATAAGAAACGCCGCGACGTTTCATTTAACGTCGGTGATTATGTCTGGAAGAGGACTTACGTCCAAAGTGCCGGCGATCGGTATTTCTCTTCTAAACTAGCCCCGAAATATGAGCGGTGCAAAATTATAAAAAAATTATCTCCTTTAGTTTACATATTCGAGAACGACCAAGGAAAATATCTTGGACGTTGGCATATCAAAGATTTCAAATAGGTTAGCTACTTTAGATGACCCAAATAACTTTTATTCTGAATCTCTACACTTACTTATTCATGATCTACCTCGTAGTCTAAGCTGGAGAACCAGCTTGAATTTTCCTCGCTACGGAGTAAAATTCCCGGGGCGAAGGGGGTGATTGTAACGTCGTATTTTTAAAAGGACGATTCCATTTTATTTATGATATTTTATCGAGTGCGATTTCGTGTATAAATACGGGTAAATCGATTAGTCGATGTCAACAATTGATTCAATCAACGGATTACACCGTTCATTCCAACCCTATGAGATATGTCAGATGAACTCTTGCCGGCGCGAAGACGGCGAGGAAGCTTTTTTTTCTTTTTCGAAGAGTGGATACAGTGGACATTCGGTCCCGATGATCTACGGAGGACCTCCAGAAATGCATCGGCTCGGATGCTGAGGCGTCACCCGCCCTAGATACCAGATATCACCAGGAAAAACCCGAAAGGGTTTTATTTTTTACTCCATACTATTTAAACCTAATTACCTACCTATTTGTACTGGCTGCTGCTACATCATGTGCTCCTAGGACTCTGAGCATCTACCAACATTACCCTCTACAAATTGCTTCCGGCTGAGGACGCCTAGAAACCAGGGCCCTTATTCAGGAAACGCTGAGGCGGTGCCTCACCTATGGTCAGCCCCGCCGGGTAAACGACATTGAAGGTACCGGATCACCTAATACCAGTGTTCATCAGCTCCTCTAGGATGTGGCCACCCGGTATCCGAAGTTCCATTTTCTTTTTTCTTTTATGTTTTAATATAAGTGATACCAAGGTACTACATTTGATTCGACCAAGCTCCACCACTTACCGTCTTAAGCATAGTAAATAGAGATTTAAGTGACTAATTATAATACTTTAACTCTTGACACCAATTTCTCTTTCAATTTTTTTGTTTATTGTTCAGAGAGGTCGTTACGGACCTTAGGTTTTTTTTTGTTGTATTCTCAAGCTACATAGTGTATTGGGTGGCGCGAAGGATAAGAAAAAAAAAATGTACCAATTGTAATAGGGTTAGCTGGAGTATTCCATTTTTGACGCGTTTGAAGAGTATGCAAATAATCAGTTCTCCACCGCTTCCAAAAGGACTGCACTAACTTATCCAATAAAGCGTGACGTGAGAGAACGTGAAGCTTATCTTCATCAATGTCTGGCGCGGGTAAATATTTAAGCGGAGTATAGGTTAGAAAATGCGCTGGTGTCAACGCTAGTGGCTCGGATGGGTCGCTAGTAAGTGTCCTACACAAGGGGCGCGTATTCATAACAGCCTCTACCTGCACGAGAACAGTACTGGGCTCCTCAAACGAGAGCGTCTGATCACCGATGACTCTAAATAATAATCCCTTCAACGATTTTATGTTGCTCTCCCAGTTTCCACCAAAGTGACTCGCGGTCGGCGGGTTCAATACCCACGTGATATTATTTTCGGCTACGATATGTGCGAAGTCAGTGTTATAACTTCGTGAAATGAGGAATTCGTGAAGCTCCGATAATGAACGTTTTGCGCCTATGAAATTAGTCCCGTTGTCGGAATATATACGACTAACGGGGCCGCGCCTCGATAAGAACCGCTTGAAAGCCGACATAAAACAAGCAGTGGTGAGATCGCCAGAAAGTTCTATGTGAACGGCGCGAGTTGTCATACAGACGAATAGACATATGTATGCCTTGGTGGATCGGATATCCCGACCACGAGACATAGTTACCTTCAGCGGTCCAGCGAAATCCACACCTGTGTGGGCGAAAGGCTTAGCGGATGGAGTTACACGGAAATACCTATGATCTGATATTTCTGGAAGATTTGGCTTTGGACGAAGCCGAAAACAAGGAATGCACTTATGCACCCTATTGCGTGCCAGATTGCGGGCGGAAAGAATCCAGTATTTCTGACGCAGAATAGACGACAGTAAACCTGCGTGACAATGGAGCTTGTGGTTATAATCAACTAACAAATTCAATATATGATCTTTGCGTGGTAAAACGATCGGATATTTATGATCGAATGACAAGTCAGAGTGGGTCAAACGCCCCCCGACTCTAATAATGTCATCGCGGAGAAACGGCTTCAATCGTTGAAGGCGGTGACTACAAGTCTTGCCAGACTTCAAAGCGGCGATGTCGTTAGAGAAATAAACCATTTGAATTTCACGGATTATCCTATTTTCCGCGAATGCAAGGTCTGAAGCGGACACAAAATTAGTTTCGCGGCGCGGTAATACTTTAAGAAAACGAAATACATAGATTACGATGCGTAAAAGTTTACTCCAAGAGGAGATGCGTTTTGAGAGATCCATAATAGGCGAAGGTTCAGGATAACAAGTCACAAGTGTGACTCTTTTCTGTTCCGGAGGATCAGATAAAGCGGTAGACGCGGGTTAAACGCGGAAATAGGCCAATTTCTGGGGCTCAAAATAGCCCAGGATGGACCCTTGACCCAAAGCGGATGGTCAGATATATTAGCGGGTAAATGTCCGCGCGATAAACAATCGGCGGGATTCTCGATTCCAGAAACATGATAAAAGTGTTTAGCAGATAAATCTGCATGTAATTTAGAAAGCCGATTGGCAACAAACGTGTCCCAACGGTCCGGTGACGAATGTATCCAACATAAAGCCACCGTAGAATCTGAAAAGGCGAAGATGTTGTGAATTGCTATACGAGCACTACACACGTCGATGACTGTGCGTATAAGACGAGCGAGGAGAAGAGCGGCACAGAGTTCTAACCTCGCTAGTGAAACAGTTTTTGTCGGTGCTACCTTGGACTTAGCACAAATAAGATGAACCGAGTTCAGCTGTCCTTGATTTTGAATATGAAGGTACACTACTCGATAAAATAAAAACCGAAGACGAAAATTTATAATAATATTGAAAAGATTTCCTTGGAGATTCTCACCATTGTACAAAATATCGTTAAGCAATAATGACGAACTCGTTTTAGCGCTAGCATCCAGTACAACGCGTAACTTCGATGTACTTATCGTGCCGAATGACACCGTGATGAGGTATGATGTAGGAAGGAGCGTTAAGTTCTGAAAGCGCCCTTGAGATGTAGCCCTTATCAAGATAGTCGCGAATCACTTCATCATAAGCTTATCGGAGCGTAGAAGAAGCTTTTAGTTTGCGTTCTAGACATAGAAATCGCCTTTCAGCGGTGCGCATGGAATCTCCGAGAGCGAAAACATAACCCTTAATAGGTAAGGCGACGGTATACCGACCGCTCTCGTCACGAGTGGTGGTTGCTGCGAAAATTTCTTCGCAAGCCTTGTCATCTGAACTAAGCACAGGCGGTGCGGTAACCTCCTCCATCTCCCAGAACTTGGCGACCAAGGAACTCAAAGAGTTTGTGGCGCAACAGGAAACATAATTTAAAGAATTTAATACAGCGGGCGCGTTACCTATTACGACGTAGCCTAAAACGGTCTCTAGGGCAAAAGGTGCGGCAGCGGAATCAAAACCCGTGACCTTATTAGGCAAGAGGAGGTGCGGATATAAGGATGCTCCTATCATCATTTCGACGTCAGCAGGACGATCATAGTTTTCGTCAGCGAGCGGTAAGGTTTCAAACCTATGAAGAGCGGTTCTCAATAGCGGTGCGGTAGGTAGTTTTTCAGTTATCTGATCAACTACTAAAGCTTCCATTTCGTGATTAACATTACGATTAAAGCGAGAAGAAAACTTCACTAATACAGACACCCGTATAGTCTTGGACGATCCTCCGATACCCTTGACGTGGTTAACTGCGGATTTATTAAAAGCTAAGCCTATGCGAGCACAACATTTGTGCGTATTAAAATTATTTTGTGATGCACTGTCTAAAATGCAGCGAATAAGATGTTCATTACCACAATTATCAGTCACAATGACACAAGCGGCTTGAAGCGCGACTGTAGTAAAAGCGGGCGAAATATTACTGTCGATAGAATCGACAGAGAACGTGCATAGTGCAACGTCATCTGCGCGGGGCGCGATAGATGCGGAAACACCGGACTTAGTCGGCGGCAGCGCGGATGCGGGTGGTCGGACCCCAGCGCGGTGCGTGGGTGTCCTTCCAAAGCGTGAGCGAAACTATCAAAATGCAGCATATAATGGTGCTTACGCTGGCACCAGCGGCATGAGGAACTAGAATTACAATCACGGATAACATGCCTATTACTAAGGCAATTAATGCAGTAATTATTAAATTTAGCGTGTTTATAGCGGTCAGAAGGTGCAAATTTTTGAAAACCTGAACCTGAAATTTATTTATTTATTTTAAGGAACACAAACAATGTATTGTACAATAGCGTCTTAAGAACTAATATGCATAATGACTTAATCTAGTACATACAAAAATAATATGTGTCCACAGCATCTACCATTTTATGTTAACTACCTTGAGAGATACGAGATAATTTACATAATTTCCATGTTCGATAACTATTAAAGACCTTTGCAAATTTACATTTAACAATAAAATGCTAAGCACAAATCATGCAATGTAATAATCTTATATATATACTCGTATGTTAATATATTTATTTGCAAAAATCTATACCATACATTTATTTATAATATTCTTAAAATGTGCTTGTTTCTCACGAAATTCAAATGTATAAAAGCTCTAAAAACCTTATATTACGCTCTAGTACGCAGTAATGTAGAGTATTGCTCTATTGTGTGGTATCCTATATACCAAAACAATATCCAACGCATTGAAAGTATACAAAAAAAGTTTGTGAGGAGGCTGTCTATTGCATGTGGTATTCGGCATGCTGTCAAGGATTATAATCAGAGGCTTAATTATTTCAATATGAAACCATTGTATTGGAGGAGAGACTACCTGGGTTTACTGTTTCTACATAAGTTATATAATCATGGGGTAGATTGTACGCCACTAATATCCAAAATAAATATTAACATACCCAGACCCTCTGCTAGATTAGTAAACTATAAGCCGTTTGTAATTAAAACTAGTCGTAACAATTATGGGAGCAACACACCTCTGTCCTATATCCTCGGCAAATATAACGCTGTTTGTAATAAAATAGACATAGACATTTTCTCCGAAAAAACAGTTACAATTAAAAAAATATATATATAGTATAGTATTATAGTAAGTTAGTTGATTGTGTTATGCTTTTGCTTTAGTTTTTTATCTAACCATAATTTTTTTTTTTTGTTAACGTAGATCAAATTTTGAAACCTATATGTATGTACACTTATGGAAAATGCTGTGCTCACCTTTAATTTAAAAGCATACACATATATTTTACTTGTATGAATGTTTTCTTGTGAAATATCTAGTATGTATTTTAGTTGGTAAGCCTAATTACGTATGCTACAGCCGAAGGAGCAAAAGAAACGAAATCTATTTAAACTTATTTTAATTATAATAAAAATTACAATCTAAAAATAGGTATGCTCAAGTTCGATGTTTGAACAAAAGTGAGTTTCCGGTAAAGCAGGGCTTCGTTCATCGGTGGTGTCGTGTCGCCGTCGCGCTGGCGCCATCGGTCGGGGTGCTGACGGTGCATTCACACGTACTGGTACAAGTTGCTGACGGTGCCGCGCGTGTAACCGCTGCTACTAGGTCGCGATGTGCATTTTAAATATATTTTACATATTTTAGGTAAATGTAATTCCTCCCCCCTCAGTCTGGCAACTATTTTCCGATTTTGTGCGAGAAAATGGTTGTCTGAGATGGTGTCGTAAGGGCATGATCTCCGGCATCCTCTGTGTGCTTTTCTTCGTTAGAATCTATTGCTACTTCAATGTTTACTGATCTGCGTAGCTTGTAACGACGGATTAGAGATACAACGACGAAGATAATTACGCCGGATAATACAACATAAAAGGGTAGCGTTGTATGATAGTAATAAGATTCATCTAATGATTCCATCTGTAGGGGAGTCCGGAGCGATGCCTTTTCTTGGATACTATGAAGTGCTTTCAGGTCTATAGATGTAAGATGTAAGTGTGGAGTCCCTTGTATTGCGGTGTCTATACTCTGTTCTATCTTCATAATTTTCAGTGGCTGCCCTTGTATAGCATCATCTGAGTTTAAAATAGTGAATTCAGGAGATTGCAGAGAGCAGTGCAGGGGTAGCGTAACGAGAAAGCTACCATTCAGTACATTGTATGCTTCTGTGCCACAGCTGAGTCGAACCTTTGCTGCTTTTGGGAACGATATGATGTAGCTGCGGTCATCCAGTTGCTCTACAGTTTCTTTTAGTAAATGGACCGTCGAAAATATGCAGGTTTCTTCGATAGTTTGCCTCAAGATGATCTGTTGAATGCAGTCTGACGTAGTGCGTATCCTCCTGTGGGAAGTCTCATCACAAAGGGACAGGTGATGGTACTTCGGGCATTCAGCCTCTATGTACACAAATTCTTTTCTATTAATTGCTAGGAAAGGAGAAGGTGGGATAATTACTCGGTGAAATCTATTGGGAGCTAAGGATAATCTATACAAGTCATAAGTACTCTTTGAAACTATAGGGAATTTAAAAATTATTACGATCTGTTTATTAACGAAGTATGAACCGGATCTTATCAAGGTATAATAGTCCCTTAATTCTAAGTCCACTACTTGTTCCGGGCCGTAAACTAACCTAAGCTTGCTTAACATTAACCTAAGTACTTTAAGACTAATCATCGAATGATGAGTCGTGGTTGTACGAGTAAAAGCTAACATATTCTCTATATTAATTAATCCATTTAATACGTCATTAGCGTTTTCGGTAATGATTGTTAAGGTTTGGGTGAATCTACCGTATCTGTGGAAACTATTCTCTCTATAACTATCTTTTTCAGACCAGGATTGTAAGGTATTGTTAATTTCTATTTGATTTTGAACTAGTCTTTCTAACACACTGCTCTGTTCTTTCATCCAATCCTTATTCAAGCTAGCGCGGTTACTAAGTTCTGAATTAATTTTATTTTGGTTATTTTCTAAAACTTCAAGTGCTTTATTATATCTTATAGCGTCCTGATAATCTAAATTTCCTGTTATACTTTTAACTAGTGATCCTAGTCCGTCTATAAGACCTCTTTTTGTCCTGCTAGGTTCTAAAGTCTGCAAGTGTTCTAATATATGATTCGTTTTATTCATTAGGTAGCGAATTTGGGGCTCATATACCGTGTAAGTAGTGTTAAAGAGTCTATGTTCAAAACTTAGTAGTTGTCCTCTTAGTTCGTTAATTTCATGTTCAATTCTGTCCAAGTCAATGTACTGTAAGAAGGTATGGTGATGGGTTGTCACTCTTGCAGGTCCGAGTTTAAACGGTAAGAGTCCTGGTCCATTGTCTAAGTTATCAAGTCGTATCTCCTGTGTTAGCGCCAGTTTTAGTGTTGTCATCAGTAGTAAGGTCACCCTGTAACAATTTAACATTTTTGGTTGGTCGTTTCAGGCGTGTTTTTGCTACGGGGCCGCGTTTTTTAGACGTGTAGATATGGATTGGTAGATCTGCGAGGACTTTATCTTGCGTGTAACGGGGAGCTATTTTCTGTCTAGTTGCCGCAGGGTTCCTAATAAATACCTGCTGCTGAGGTTGGTATTCGATTTCAGGTTCTCTCGTCTTATTATGGTTGTTCGTAAGGGCTGTCCGGTTGTCGAGGGCTATATTATTAACTATGTCATAAACTAATTTCATCTGGTCACGGTGTGTCTGCATATACATCTGTGATAAGTGTTGTGTCACATCGATGTCCGTCGGGTCTCTGGGGTCGAAGTGTCCTTTCAGTAAGTCGTAGGGTCGACATCTAGTGAGGCTATGGATGGAGCTATTGTACGCGATGATAGCATAAGGCATGAGATTTACTATTGATTCATTTTTCTGTTGTAACTTCAGTATTCTAAGGTGCTCAAGTATGGTTGAGTGGAATCTCTCGATATTACCGTTATCGTTTGGCGAGTGGGGTTGGGTCTTATGATGTATGATTTTATGAAGCTTTATGAATTCCGCAAAGATTTGGTTCGTAAATTCAGTCCCGTTGTCTGTTACAATTGTTATGGGGAGCCCATGGTGAGTGCAAAATGTAAGAAAGGCCTGTACAATACTAATCGCTGTGCCATCCTTTAAGGGATAAGCCTGTCCGTACTTCGTAAAAACATCTACGAAAGTTATGTATTTTTCAGTCTGTATAGTGAATAAATCAGCGTGAATGATTTCCAGAGGTTTAGTCGCAGGTGGTACAAGATTTAACTGAGGTTTGATCGTGTTTCTATCGTATGTGCTTTGCCCGCATATACTGCATTCGTTAATAAATTTAGTAATGTGATCTTTCATTCTCGGCCAGTAATACTTCCGGGATAATGCTAGATAACATTCATTTATTCCTCTATGGTTAGTCTTCCCTTCGTGATAATGTTTAATTATTTCCTGTTGTTTTAAATATTCTTTTATATTTTCTAATTCTACTTTAGTTAGGACGAGCTTCATTGCAGAGCTTTTAAAATTTTCTTGTATAATGGGTATAATTTTGTACATGGCTAATGGGGGTGTTATCAACAGGGCGGTTTTAACTTTGGGGTTGACATACTCTTTGATGGAATTTACAATATCACTCTCGAGGGAGGATTCGGAAATCTGTGTCGATACCTTAACATGGGATTCGAATGGTTTAGATACTACAGGTCGCCTAGTAATTTCGTCAACTAAAGTCATACATAGTTGCCTATGAAATTTGTTAAGGGGTTCATCTGTGATGGGAACTTCTAGAATCGGATTTTCCTGACTAGTATGGGCGGTGCTGGTAGCTGAATTATCTATACTAGGTTGTCTCTCGGAGGGGTTTACAGTAATGGAGCTAATTTCCTCGTTATGAATTTCAATTCTGGATAAAGCATCTGCATTTGTATTGACTTTTCCTTTTTTATATATCACTGTGAAATCATATTCACTGAGCTTCAATCTCCATCTAGTGAGTCTGGAGTTGGGTTCTTTAATATTCATAACCCATTGAAGGGGTTTATGATCCGTTATTATTTTAAATTTTCTTCCAAAAAGGTAAGGTCGGAAATACTTGGTTGCCCATACTATTGCGAGCAATTCTTTTTCTATTGTACTGTAATTTATTTCACTTTCGTTAAGGGTACGAGAGGCGTACGCGATTGGTTTATCGGAGCCTACAGGTCCCTGGGATAAAACGGCACCTAGGGCAAAGTTGGATGCGTCGGTCGTCAGTATGAATTCCTTATTAAAGTCAGGGTATTGAAGTATTGGGTCATTGGTCAGTAGTTTCTTACATTTTTCAAAGCAATCAGTATATGTACTATCTAACGTGATTTTACAATTCTTTTTTAAACAGGATGTCATTGGTTTCGTGATTCTAGCGAAGTCGGGTATAAATTTTCTGTAGTATCCTAATAAACCTAAAAACTGCTTAATTTCTTTAGTCGTCCGTGGTAAGGGGTATTTTTCTATGGTGACTATCTTTTCGGGGTTAGGTTTAACGCCATCTCTTGTGATAACGTGACCTAAAAAATCGGTCTCTAGTTTTAGGAACTCTGATTTGTCCATCTGTATTTTAAAATTGGACTCTCGGAGTCTCTGAAAGACTTTTTCAAGATTAATAATATGCTCTTGCAGGCTAGTACTGAAGACAATGATATCATCAAGGTACACCAGGCATACCTCGTTTTGTAGACCTCTTAATAAATTATCCATTACCCTTTGAAAGGTGGATGGTGCGTTTTTAAGTCCCATGGGCATTCTCAGGAATTCAAAGTGCCCATGTTCTACTGTAAAAGCCGTCTTATGAATGTCCTTTGGGTCCATTTCTACCTGCCAAAATCCGCTAGCAAGATCAAGGGTTGAAAAATAATGACATTTGCCTAATTTGTCTAAAACATCTGTTATGTTGGGAATTGGGTATTTGTCACTGATGGTTTTGTCGTTTAACTTCCGAAAATCAACTACAAGGCGCCACTTTTGTTTTCCTGAAGCGTCTACCTTTTTTGGTACTATCCAAATAGGTGAACTCCATGCAGATCCGGAAGGTCTAATGATACCTTGTGAAAGCATTTTAGTTATCTGGTCCTTGACCTCTTGTCTATGCGCGAAAGGGTACCGATAACTCTTGGTGTAGATCGGGGTTTCATCAGTTGTATTAATAATATGCTTTACTTTGTTTGTGAAAGTCAGTGGTTCATTGTCAATATAGAAAACATCTGAATAGTTAGAACAGAGAGCTAATAAGTTGGCTAATTCTTCTGGATTAAAATGGTCAGTACGGAGACGCGCTAATACTTCTTGAGTTCGTGATGATTGTGGTTGAATATGAGACTAGTGCTTAACAAAACCATTGACAAAACAACTACGGTGACTAGTGTAAACGCTTGTGAATTGATTATATGCTAAATAAAATGTCCTGAACACAGTACTACAACAAGTTTCTGAGTGACTTAAACTATTTATTTACTGTAAACAAACAAAGTGGTGAAAAAATACTGCCGTTAAGAAAAATATTTCAAATGCCTCATCGCATGTAAAGTATCGTGCCATCTATGTAATTGACGACGTACTGAGAACAAACAAATGCATGCTGATAATCAGTAGACTATAAAGAACTTATTTATACATCATATTTAGGAGCATTAGAACGACATTTTAGACAATATAATTTAATAAGTTCGTGGCTGAATGGCATAGCGGACTGCCTAGTGATAACAAATCTCAAGTTCGAATCTCGCCTGACCAGTGTCTTTTTGTGCATGTTTCCTGACTTTCACAAAATAACAGGAACATTTCTACGGTCGCCGCCACAGGTGGTAGGAACAACTTAAGTTAGTAAAATTATACAAAAACTATAAGACTGTTGGTATTTATCATCTATTGTGATACAAATTTAAATAACGACATTGGGTAAATGCTATTCCAAAAGGAAGGAGTTGGTAGGTCAACGTATAATTTTTTGATAAGTTTGATTTAGATGAAGGTTTTGCGACTCAGTCTTCGCATCATAGCGAAATTTGAGCCGGGTGTTGACGTTTGGAATTTCTAATATTAAAAAGTCAAAGTCAAAGTGCCAACTAATACACACACACACCGCTAGAGGACATCACTTGTATCATCACAAACCAAAATGATGGAAGAAGTTTTAAACACGCTAAAATCAATAAAAAAGGAACTAGACGAACAAAGAATTGAAATTAGGGAAACCGGAAAAAATGTTACAGAACAAGTTACACAAAATATTACCAGTATATTCGAGGAGAAATTTTTGGCCTGGGAAGGAAAACTCGGAGAAATGAAAGAAATAGTGGAAAATCAAGAAAAAAGAATTTATCACCTAGAAAAACAAGCAAGAATAAGAAACTTGGTATTTTTCGGTATCGAGGAAAACGAAACATCATACAAGAGTTTTGAAAAAAATATAATTAAGTGGATTGAGCAATATTTCTCTACTAAACTGGCCTACAGCGACATTCAGGAGATAAAAAGACTGGGAAAGAAAGGAGAAAGACCACGTCCAACTGTTGTAACTTTCACTACACTAGGAATAAAAATCGAAATATTTAAACAAAAAGGAGCGCTGAAAGATACACAGTACTATATGAAAGAAGACTTCCCTAAATATGTACTTGAAAAAAGGAAGGAGCTACAGGAGCAACTGAAACTAGAAAGAGAAAAGGGAAATACAGCCATACTCAAATATGACAAACTGATTGTATCAAAATATCAAAGTAAAAGAAAATTCCGGTCATCACCAGACAACAACACACAAACTAAAATGGAAAAGCATACTCAAGCTAGTAAAAAAAACAAGACACAACAGATTGGCAAGACAGTCACTAGGTCAAACAGCATTTCGGAAGGAGTTATAAAACCTAGCATGCTCAACTTCTTGGTCAACAAAAATACAACCAAAACTGACATCAACCAAGAACGTAACAGCGAGAATATATAGCAACTAAGCCCCTCCTACCACACAGATGCCACAATTGAACAAAAGAACAAACAAAAATATAATAGAAAAAATCTTCCAACCCGGTTGGTCACCGTGGAAGAATACGACCAAAACCCTCCAATGAATGCACCAACAGAGGAAAGAAATACCCTAGATAGGTATAAACTAACGATTGCCACGTACAACGTCCGGACTCTTTCATCATACGATCGCTTGCTTGAATTTGAAGAGGCCATAAGAAATATAAAATACGATGTCATTGGAATATCGGAAATGAGAAGACATGGAAACAAAATAGAAGAATACGAAAACTTTATAATGTGCTACATAGGACAAACTCCTGGTAAATATGGGGTCGGTTTTATAATAAATAGGTCCCTCAAAAACCACATAATAAGCTTCAATGGAATAACAGAGCGAGTCGCAACACTAAATATAAATATACAAGGTCATAAGATATCCATCATACAAGCTTATGCA